TTCTAATCTCCCTCAATTCCAAATCGCGCGCACTCAGTTCTCCCTCAGTCAACAAGTAATCCTCCGCGCGGCGATGTTTGGAATGTTTAACAACTAGCAGGTGGACGCGCGCAACTCGCACTAGAAAATGAAATCGCGAATTCAAGAATGGGGCGTCCTCCGTCTCCTGGTCGAAGGTCATGATCGGCTCTCGGTCGTGAGGGTCGAATCACTTGATGGCCGCGCCGGCTCCGCGCTAAAACAGTCTCCTCTCTCAAACTGAATCCAACAAACTTCATTTCGCCATTATCTCATGTGTAACCCGGTGGTGTTTTTTGTCGATCACATGGCTATCAAGTATCTAGTCAACAAGGCAGAATTAAGTGGGAGGTTAGCTAGGTGGGTCTTGTTGCTAGAAGAGTTCGACTACACTGTAGAGTACAAACCTGGTCGAATGCATTTACAAGCTGACCATTTGTCAAGGCTTTCAGAGGAGATAGGAACTCGTCCGGTAGATGACAGGTTGATAGACGAAAGTCTTTTTGTAATTACGGCAAAGCCTGAGTGGTATGGAGGTATTGTAGAGTTTCTGACCACTCAGAAATTATCAAGCGACTGGACGAAGGAAGAGAGGAGAAAAGTGAGAGTCAACAGTAGACATTTTATAGTGTTAGGTCATAGGCTGTTCAGGAGAGGTGCAGACGGAATATTGAGGAGGTGCGTGTCAGAGGTTGAAGTTCCATCAATACTAGAAGCTTGTCACGATAGCGCGTGTGGAGGGCATTTTTCTGGCAAGCTCACAGGTCAGAAGGTACTTCGAGCAGGTTACTTTTGGCCTACCTTATTTCAAGATTCCTACAGTTACGTCAAAAAATGTGATGCTTGTCAAAGATATGCGAGAAACGATCTCAGAATGGAGATGCCTCTTCAGGTGTCCTTACCTTTGGTCCCTTTTGAGAAGTGGGGGATTGATTACATTGGCGAGATTCATCCCCATTCATCGAGAGGCATGGCTTACATTGTAGTTGCAACTGAATACTTGACTAAGTGGGCAGAAGCTAAGGCGGTGAAAGCAAACACAGCTGCCCATGCCGCCACATTCATGTACGAGAATATCATTTCGAGGTTTGGATGTCCAAGGATTTTGGTTAGTGATAGGGGGACCCATTTCTTGAATGAGATGTTTCAAGATTTAACTGATAGGTTTAAGATAGACCATAGGAAAACAACTCCTTATCATCCGCAGACAAATGGCCAGACAGAACGAGTCAATGGAATATTGGTGAGCATATTGCGCAAGACAGTTTTTGACTCGAAGAGGGATTGGGATTCCAAGCTTACGGCGGCATTGTGGGCTTATCGGACAACTTTCAAGGTAACAACGCAAGCAACACCATTTTCGTTAGTGTATGGGTTGGAAGCTACTCTTCCGATTGAGTTTGAGGTGGAATCACTCCGAGTGGCAGTGCAGTCACGGCTTACAACCAGTCAATCGTTACTAGATAGGTTCACAATGTTAGCAGAGCTTGATGAGAGGAGGAGAATGAGTGCTCAACACATTGAGGCCATTCAAAGGAGGAGAAAGATCGCCTTCGACAAGAAACATAAGACGAGAACACTTAGAGCAGGTATGATGGTGATGATTCAAGATGCTCGAAAACTTGATTTTCCGGGAAAATTTGATGCTGTATGGTTAGGGCCGTATCTTGTTAGAGAGGCATTTACAAACAATTCAGTACAGCTAGAGACCTTGAATGGAGAAATTTTTCCTACTCGCACGTCAGGCAGTCGATGTAAGGAATATAGAGCATAGATGCTAACTAGCTGGGAGCTAGAGATTCTGGATCCATCCCCTGATGGTCGCCAATTATGTGAGTTCAATTATGAACTCAATTAAATAATTAGCATTAGTTAGTATGATATATTAGGGACTTCAGACAAAGAAAAGAAAAGAAAGATTATTTAATAGAGTGGTAGTAGGTTAGTAGTAGTTAGTAACGTAAGTAGACGTAGATTATTTATTGAATGTATCTGTTAAGTATCAAGAACGGGCCTGGCAAGAGAGACGTCGCAGGTGAAGGACGAGGAGGAAAGGCGGAGGGCAGAGGGTCTCCGGACCATTGAGAAGGAGAAAGATAGAGAGAAAGAGAGGGAGCGGGATAAAATACGGGATAAGGATAGGGAGCGAGAGAAGGAAAGGGAGAAAATTCGCGAGAAGGAGAAGCTGAAGTCTAAAGAGAAAGATCGAGATTCCGAGAAGAAGAAGGATAGGGCAAAGGACCCAGAGAAGGAAAAGGATGGTAGAATCAGAGACCACGACAGGGATAGAGGGAAGGAACATGAACGAGAAAAGGAGAGGGTGAAGGATTTAGACAGAGAAAGGGATAAGGAGAGAGACAGAGGTGGGGACAAGGACAAGAAAAAAGAGAAGGATCAATCTAAGAAAGACAGAGACAAAGAACGGGAGAAGGACAAAGAGCGAGAGAGGGAGAGAGAAAAAGTTGTAGAACGAGAGAAGCTCGGAGAGCGCGAGAAGGAGCGGGAGAAAGATAGAGAGAAGGTCGCGGAGCGAGACAAAGACAGGGACAAGGAGAGAGAACGAGAGGAGAAGGATCGTCAGAAGTCGCGATTAAAGGAGAAAGACCGTGGAAGAGATCATGAACGGGACAGGGATGGAAGAGAAAAAGAGCGAGATCATGAGCGAGGATAATTCAGAGAGTGAGGATGAGGAGGAAGAGCAAGAGGAAGACAGGGGAAAGGGAAGAGGAAGAGGAAGGGAGGCGATCTGTGTGACATGGGCGTGAGCCTTTCCCTCGTTCGAGCACTGTGCGGTGGGGATGAATAAGTTCGTCGATAATCGGAGTTCTGAAGCGAGAGAATGCGGCAGTTTTCGATAGAGGGCGCGGAAATGTCGGCCTTTGGAGGCTAGTTATACGGAAAACAGAGCTCTGACGAAGAAGAAGGGATGAAAGGAGAAGCGAGCGGGTGAAAGAACGGCTGAAGTCGGAAAAGAAGAAATTGCTCGACGAGAGTCAAGCGATCCATTGGGAGGTTCAAATTGGTTCTGGACGCCATAAGAAGACATCTAAACGGCGGCTGCAGCAGAAAGGAAACCGGGGAAGATCCAGAGTTCAGGCTAAAAAACAAGTGAACGAGTCTTGGTCTCTCAAGCGAGAGAAAGGCATGAGTTCGGTTTCTTCACAAGAAGGACATGAGGAACGAGGAGAAGGTCTCTGCTGGACTAGGAGATTGAGAGAGCGGGGGAAGAAACGAGTATTAGAATTTTGTGCCGAAGTAGAGGTTGAAGCGTTTGCTCCAGATGTTCGAGTAGTAAAGCATAAAGTGGACAAAGGGGACGAAGCTCTTGAAAGTATTCCGGAGCACATCTCAGATGAGCTAGATAAACTTTTTGTTAAAAGCTGGTCACGAAAGCACCGGAGGAACTTTCGGACTCGGGCTAGGTTTCAAAGCCTTACCAAGCAAGAAACACAGGCTGGAACTACCCAAGATCCCGGTGGGATTGGTGTAGACCACCTTCAATCTAGTCCAAAAGAGGCGCTGCGTGAGGCAAAAATGGCCGACCCAACAGTTAACAAGAGCAAGGAAATCTTGGAGGCCGAAGTACCCCTTGTAAATGGTTGGCATGTCGTATTGAACGAGCATGACAGTTCTTCAATCGAGTTGTCAACCAGTAAGTCTTCTGATGGGAAGTCAATAGCTAGGTCTGTGCAAGACTCATTAGCATTTGGAGGTAGGTCAGAAGATAGGGTCCAAGCAGATATTCCAAGTGTTCCACCCGAAAGTAGCCACTTCGAAGCAGTGCATGTGGAATCTGATGAGCAGATACATCTGGTGCTCCACCTTTGTATAGAGTCAAATAGAGAACAGAGTGCAGATCTAAATCCCATCACAAGTACCTCAGCCTCGTTTCCAGTAGAGAGAGTACATAGCTTGCGTATGTAGCCACTGTCTGGAGTACTCAAGAGTGCATGTTCCGTGAGCCCTCGAGCTCAGGCTCCGTCGTTTGCCTGTTGTGAATTAGGTGTAGTTACGAGTACTTCTGCAAAGGCTCGAGATTCTGTTGTTAGTAAGCCATTGTCGAAAGCAAGTGAGAACATGCTTGGAAGTACGGAGGAGCCAACTAGCCAAGAGATTGTTGGCCTCATTGTGACCGATGTAGAAGAGGATAGAGGTTGTAATGACAGCGCCGAAGAGTTGGTGCATGGAGCTTCCCGTGACTTTCCCGAAAACGTGTTGATCCAAGTAGTAGACAGAGAGACAAGCGAGCGGATGACTGATGAAGACGTTGAAGTCCATGAAATTGCAGCTTGTAAAGAGGTGGACAGAGAGATGATGGTCGACGGGCGCAAGGATAGTGTCTGCACCAAGATCGACAAGCAGATTGTGATCGAAGTTGGGGAGCTCAATCTGAGCTACCAGGTCAATAAGGAGACGGTGCAGGAAGTCCAAGAGAGCTTGACCTTCCGTGAGGTAGGCAAGCAGAAAGTAGTTGAGGTGCGAGATTTTGGCCATGAGAGCAACAGAAAGGGAGAGCTTGAAGGCCAAGAACGTCTAGTCCATGATGATATAGCTAGAGAGAAGATACCTGACTTTCAAGGACACAGTCACAGTCTTTGCACCGAGGTGAAGCCTCATGAGGTAAATGAGCGTGAAGTTTGTAAGAAGATAGCGGAAGAACAGGTGTTTGAGTTAAGACAGCGAACAGGCTGCTGTGAGAATACGGCTACAGATGCTGATTCTGAGGACAGGAATTCCAGTGCTTTTGCAGACCCTTTCACAACGCTGGAGGATGAGCAGACTCAATCGTCAGCAGATGACAAGCAAAGGTTTGAGGGTCAGCGTGGTCACTTACCAAACTTCGAAGACTTGGATAGATAAGGTGGATAAGGTTGGATAGGATAGGGTGCCAGGTGTTACTTTGGTTGTAACTCCCTGGATTTCCGGGGTGCCTCGGAAGCGGCCCCGTGTTGCTTATAAGGCAACTCCGTGTTGCTTATAGGGCAGTCTCGTGTTGGTGTTTGGAGATTCGACTTCGAGAGAGTAGGAACGGGGCTATAGCCTCAGTGTGGGTTGTCGTGGATTCATAGTGTAGGAACTGAGCGCGGCTCTCTTTACAGTTGGTTTCTGATGGTTTTGGGATTCATGTACTTTGGTTAGTTGGTGTGAGTGGAGGCAAGGTGTAGGAGAAGAGCTGCACCCTCAACAGTGAGGGTTGTGTGGATTCAGAAAAGAACTCTCAAAATTTGAAGCCTTAATAGTGGTGCTTCCTGGGGTTGGGTAAGAGAATGGAGAGTTGTGGTGGCTAAGGTAGATATATGTGCAGGCTTGGACCCCCACCCGGACTACAACGCTAAGGGTGGGAGATAAAAGCTCACATAAATGGTGCGTCTGCCGGGAGCCAAGTGGGTGAAAGTTCTGAAATTGGAAGTCAAGGATGGAGAGAGGAGTAAGAGGTGAGTAAACCGTTTCTTATTTCTATTGTTTTCAATTATATGGTGAAGAAGCTTGCTGAACTTTATTTTCGGTTGGTGAATGGGAATATCAAAAAGTTGCTTGTGAAGATGGTTGTGAAGTCCAGGTTTCAGTTTTACAGATTGAATTGATGTTCTGTTAGGTGCAGTTCTATACTAGTACTTTATTTTATTTGAATGAATGGGAATATCGATAAATTGCTTTGTGAGGATGGCTGTGAACTGCAGGTTTGAATTTCATTTTTTTTGGATTTGATGTTCAGTTAGATGCTGTTCTAGTCTAGTACGCTTAGCAATGAGTTGGCTGCATGGATTATGTGGGATTTGGGTGCTTAGATAAGGACGGTTGACTAGTCTGTAAATGCAAGGTAGTACAAGATCCCATAAACCAAATCTAGAAGTAGGGTTGGGAAAGATTGCACGTAAAACTAGGCTACAAAAAAATAGTGAACCTGAAAAAGAGAGTGAGATAAGTATAGAAGTGTTTTTGGACATAGATACTTCTGATAGTCTGCTCTCAGAAAATTCAAAAATTAAGACTACATTGGAGGGTGAGGTACTTCTTTCCAACGAATTTCCAGAGACTGACAGTAGGAGCACAAAGAAACCTGTAGAAGTTGATAGAGAAACAAAAGTAGAATTCTCACCTATCATGAATCGTGATGGAGAGGGGGAGATCCCCCCTCCCATCTCACCCATTGATCCGTTGGTTAGACCAAGAGGTCTTCCAATCTTAGTTCCTCAGAACTTGGCACCATTAAACATGCCATCCAACCTTCCTAAGTTCTGGGGGTCTAAAGACGAAGATCCATCAAGACATATGGAGAGATACGTCGAAAAATTAGCCAGCTCACTCATTACAGAATCTGGTTATTGCTTGGTCTGGTTTCCTTCCACTTTGGAAGGCGAAGCCTATGAGTGGTACAGGGACCATGTAGAAGGGCATTTTGTGACTTGGGAACAAATGCAACAAGAGTTTCTGAACGAGTTCAGACCTGAGGTAGGACAGAGCACTGCCTTGAGAGCATTAGCTTCCTTGAAGCAAGGGAGAGATGAGGAAATTTCTGCTTACATTAGAAGATTTGACTTGGTGTGTACACGTTTCGTTGGCACAATGCTTAACGACGACACACTAAAACAATTCTTCATTCAAGGATTTTTCAAAGCGGGTACGATACGAGGAGTGTTAGAGAGGAACCCCCGAACTTTAGTAGATGCTAAGAAAGCTGCTAGGGATATAGAGAATATTGACAAGAATTATGAAAAATTGTGGAGGAAAGAAGATGAGTCAATCCCTCAATTTATCCCTATCCGTCCCAAAGAATTAGAAAGAGAGTTGGGTAAGAACGTGAACCAGATTTCACCACCATCCAATGATCCAATTCCCCAGCCATTAGCAATCAGGGAACCAGTGCCATTGCTGGCATTACCAGCTCCTCGTGGTGAACCTCAACCTGAAGACATAGAAAAAAGATTAGGTGCCAGCCAATTAAAATTTCAGGAGGCCATGATGAAACAGATTCAGGGTTTAACAGATCAAATGTCTTTGATGATTCGGACTCAGCAACCTGGACCCCCACCTCCTGTAGAGTCAGGAAGACACGCGTCAGGATTGTGGTGTGTTCAATGTAACTTACCTGGACATACAAGACAGTTTTGTGGCATGGGACAGAATCGCGATCAGAGATTGGTTGGAGTACCACCTCCACCGATGCATGGAGGCCAAGCCAAAAATACGTATGGTAATTTTAGGGGGCCTCCAAGAGCACAAGGTGTGCATAATGGGGCAAGAAAAGAATTTCATTCTTTTTGTGGGAGGTGGCACTTCCCTGGACAATGTTGGTCAGAAGTACAAGGTTCTAATTGTAGCAACTGTGGAGGAAATCACCCTTCTGACGAATGTCGTCAGCCAGACAAGGTCATTGCATTACCTCACCCGGTGACTAATCCTCATCAGCAAGCCAGGGATAATCTGAGAGGTGCCAGGCCACAAGAGCCACCTCAAACCGAACCGAGGCCTTCAAACCTTTATTACGATTATGGAAATGCAAGACAAACAGGACACTCGCCGGTAGGTTTACAGACAGCAAATGGCTACATTCCTATACAAGATAGAACCAGAGGACCACAGTCTCAAGAGAATAGAGTTCAAGGTCTATCAAATGATCAAGGTCCGTCAACTTCTCAGGATGTTAGATACATGGATGTAACTGCACATTCAAATCCTAACAAAGCTGCCCCTTCGTTACCAACACCTGGAGATGAACAAAACAAATGGCCTCCGAATGCTAATGTTATAACCTTTGAATTAAGAGATTTTCAGGAAAAGAACAAGCAAGAAGCTCCGGCACTAGCTGTTACCACTAGGTCGATGCGAAACAAGCTCCAAGCCATTGAAGAAATGGATGAGCAAGATGAGTACTACTCAGAAGATGGTCCCCATCTTTCAGAGTTAGAGAGAGTAGCAAGAACAGCAAGAAAGGAAGCCACGGCTCTAGAGCAAAACAATGAGTTTTTCCAAGATGGAAACAGGGAAAGTCAGGGTCATGACTTAGAAACTAGTGAAGGGGGTGATTGGGAAGGACCTGGTGTTCCTTTAGAAGAATTTGATAAAATAAGGGCTACACAGATGAAGAGGTTATAGGGATACGATTTATGGGCTAATCTTAGTTCCCTCAAGGCCGATATCTCTTTTGGCCAACTATTAGAGATCTCACCATTGGCTCGTAAAAAACTGAAAGAAGGGTTACCAGTAACACGAAGGACAAGGAAGTTAAAAACTAGGGTGGCAGCAAGGGTGCAATCGCTAGAGAAAATCCGAGATGTAAAGGCAGTGGAAATAGAGGCAATTATCGTGGATAAAGTAGTACCCAACGTACTGGTAGATGGAGGAAGTGGGTTGAACATTTTGCCTGAACACACAATGAAAAAGCTAGGCCTCGGTTTAACCGGACCATCACCCTTCATCATCAACATGGCTAATCAAAGCTCTGCGGTACCTCTTGGAATGATTAAAGATTGTAGAATTAGTACAGGAGGGGAGGAGTATATTGTCACTTTTCATGTTATTAGGATGCATTCAACGAAAGATACTTTTCCCATCTTATTAGGTAGACCTTGGTTGAGAATGGCAGATGCCATAGTGGATTGGGGAGGATCTAAACCTTCTATTACCTATGGGCCAAGAGAAAATCGTGCCAAGGTTCCAATAGGCAGTTTGACGGGGGCAGAAGTAGTGACTTCTTCGGACGAACAACCTAAAGGGAAGAAAAAGGTTGAGAACAATGACACACTGGTGGGAGTTGTCAATTCAGGTTGCAAAGAAACTACAGTTAATGGGAGGCTAAGCCATCTAGGTCCTGGTTTTTACAATTGGGAGAGGGATGATGAGTATAACAGGTGGTTGAAGGAATACCCTGACTCAGGATGTGATATACTTATGATTTCACATTGTGAATACAAGGATGATAGAGATTGTTTATCCAAGGATAGTTGGTCATTGTTAGAGCCATGTGAAGTGCTTACAGAAGAAGAATGGATACAGGGCGGATTAACCCCGTGGATTGAGGATCTAGAGGACCATCAAGTGACAATAGTACACGTGGACGGAACTCAAGGTGACGATGTCACGCTTAAGGCTTCACACCTGGAAGAGCCATTGCACTTCAAAACCACATCTTCAGGGATTATAGCTGGGCAGGATGTGAAAGATTATCCTAAAGTTCCCTTGGATTGGTATCGGAATACTGACGAACAAACTCACGTGACTGAGAAGGATTGGAAGTACGTAGATGTGACAATGCGTACAGGAAACATAAGGAAGATTAAAATGGGTTCTCAGTTGGAGGATGATGAGATCCGTGAGTATGGAAAACTCGTGGACGAATTTAGTGATACATTTGCTTGGTCGTATGATGAGCTCAAGGGAATACCTCGTGAGATGGTAGAACATAGTATTCCTTTAATTCCAGGTTCTCGACCTGTTAGACAAAAAGAGAGACGAATGAATCCTCAACTGCAGCTGTTGGTTAAGTCAGAGTTAGAAAGATTGTTGCAAGCGGGATTCATCAAACCAGTAGAAATTACAGATTGGGTTTCCCCTATGGTTTTGGTGAAGAAAAAAAATGGGAAATTAAGGGTTTGTGTGGATTATAGAAGACTCAATGCCTGCACGCAGAAGGATCACTTTCCCTTGCCTTTTATTACCCTAGTTTTGGAGGAAGTAGGTGGACATGCTAGATACAGCTTCATGGACGGATATTCAGGTTACAACCAAATCTCAATAGCTAGGCAGGACGTGCACAAGACAGCGTTCACGACGCCATGGGGAACTTTTGTGTGGGTAGTAATGCCTTTTGGGTTGTGCAATGCTCCGGCCACCTTTCAGAGATTAGTTACTTATATTTTCTCTGATCTTTTGTACAAATCGATGACAGTCTTCATTGACGATTTTAGCACGCAATCTAGCATAGGTGAACATCTACAGTGTGTGAGAGAAGCTTTGATCAGATGTCGTAAAATGCAATTAGCTTTGAATCCCGAAAAAACTTTCTTGGGTGTTCAGAGGGGAGTTTTACTAGGTTACGTGGTCAGCGAGAAGGGACGGGAACCAGATCCAGAAAAAGTGGCAGTCATAGAGCAGTTGGCAACTCCAACCAATGCTAAAGGAATAGCAAAGTTGTTAGGTCACGTTGGATGGTATCGGGAATTAATTCCAGACTTTGCTACCCTAGTGATTCCCATCACTCAGTTGCTGAAAAAAGACTCTAAGTTTGAATGGACAGAGTCTTGCGAAAAATCATTTCGGGAGGTAAAATCCAAGTTGAGTACATATCCTGTCTTAAGGCCACCCGATTGGAACAAACCGTTTCATGTTTTCTGTGATGCTAGCAATCTAGCAGTTGGAAGTGCATTATGCCAAGCAACAGGAGAGAAGAACAAGGATCAACCCATTGCTTATGCTAGCAAACAGTTAACACCGGCAGAGAGAAATTATTCTACCACTGAGAGGGAGTGTCTGGCTATGGTGTTTTCAGTCAAAAAATTTCGCCATTATCTCATGTGTAACCCGGTGGTGTTTTTTGTCGATCACATGGCTATCAAGTATCTAGTCAACAAGGCAGAATTAAGTGGGAGGTTAGCTAGGTGGGTCTTGTTGCTAGAAGAGTTCGACTACACTGTAGAGTACAAACCTGGTCGAATGCATTTACAAGCTGACCATTTGTCAAGGCTTTCAGAGGAGATAGGAACTCGTCCGGTAGATGACAGGTTGATAGACGAAAGTCTTTTTGTAATTACGGCAAAGCCTGAGTGGTATGGAGGTATTGTAGAGTTTCTGACCACTCAGAAATTATCAAGCGACTGGACGAAGGAAGAGAGGAGAAAAGTGAGAGTCAACAGTAGACATTTTATAGTGTTAGGTCATAGGCTGTTCAGGAGAGGTGCAGACGGAATATTGAGGAGGTGCGTGTCAGAGGTTGAAGTTCCATCAATACTAGAAGCTTGTCACGATAGCGCGTGTGGAGGGCATTTTTCTGGCAAGCTCACAGGTCAGAAGGTACTTCGAGCAGGTTACTTTTGGCCTACCTTATTTCAAGATTCCTACAGTTACGTCAAAAAATGTGATGCTTGTCAAAGATATGCGAGAAACGATCTCAGAATGGAGATGCCTCTTCAGGTGTCCTTACCTTTGGTCCCTTTTGAGAAGTGGGGGATTGATTACATTGGCGAGATTCATCCCCATTCATCGAGAGGCATGGCTTACATTGTAGTTGCAACTGAATACTTGACTAAGTGGGCAGAAGCTAAGGCGGTGAAAGCAAACACAGCTGCCCATGCCGCCACATTCATGTACGAGAATATCATTTCGAGGTTTGGATGTCCAAGGATTTTGGTTAGTGATAGGGGGACCCATTTCTTGAATGAGATGTTTCAAGATTTAACTGATAGGTTTAAGATAGACCATAGGAAAACAACTCCTTATCATCCGCAGACAAATGGCCAGACAGAACGAGTCAATGGAATATTGGTGAGCATATTGCGCAAGACAGTTTTTGACTCGAAGAGGGATTGGGATTCCAAGCTTACGGCGGCATTGTGGGCTTATCGGACAACTTTCAAGGTAACAACGCAAGCAACACCATTTTCGTTAGTGTATGGGTTGGAAGCTACTCTTCCGATTGAGTTTGAGGTGGAATCACTCCGAGTGGCAGTGCAGTCACGGCTTACAACCAGTCAATCGTTACTAGATAGGTTCACAATGTTAGCAGAGCTTGATGAGAGGAGGAGAATGAGTGCTCAACACATTGAGGCCATTCAAAGGAGGAGAAAGATCGCCTTCGACAAGAAACATAAGACGAGAACACTTAGAGCAGGTATGATGGTGATGATTCAAGATGCTCGAAAACTTGATTTTCCGGGAAAATTTGATGCTGTATGGTTAGGGCCGTATCTTGTTAGAGAGGCATTTACAAACAATTCAGTACAGCTAGAGACCTTGAATGGAGAAATTTTTCCTACTCGCACGTCAGGCAGTCGATGTAAGGAATATAGAGCATAGATGCTAACTAGCTGGGAGCTAGAGATTCTGGATCCATCCCCTGATGGTCGCCAATTATGTGAGTTCAATTATGAACTCAATTAAATAATTAGCATTAGTTAGTATGATATATTAGGGACTTCAGACAAAGAAAAGAAAAGAAAGATTATTTAATAGAGTGGTAGTAGGTTAGTAGTAGTTAGTAACGTAAGTAGACGTAGATTATTTATTGAATGTATCTGTTAAGTATCAAGAACGGGCCTGGCAAGAGAGACGTCGCAGGTGAAGGACGAGGAGGAAAGGCGGAGGGCAGAGGGTCTCCGGACCATTGAGAAGGAGAAAGATAGAGAGAAAGAGAGGGAGCGGGATAAAATACGGGATAAGGATAGGGAGCGAGAGAAGGAAAGGGAGAAAATTCGCGAGAAGGAGAAGCTGAAGTCTAAAGAGAAAGATCGAGATTCCGAGAAGAAGAAGGATAGGGCAAAGGACCCAGAGAAGGAAAAGGATGGTAGAATCAGAGACCACGACAGGGATAGAGGGAAGGAACATGAACGAGAAAAGGAGAGGGTGAAGGATTTAGACAGAGAAAGGGATAAGGAGAGAGACAGAGGTGGGGACAAGGACAAGAAAAAAGAGAAGGATCAATCTAAGAAAGACAGAGACAAAGAACGGGAGAAGGACAAAGAGCGAGAGAGGGAGAGAGAAAAAGTTGTAGAACGAGAGAAGCTCGGAGAGCGCGAGAAGGAGCGGGAGAAAGATAGAGAGAAGGTCGCGGAGCGAGACAAAGACAGGGACAAGGAGAGAGAACGAGAGGAGAAGGATCGTCAGAAGTCGCGATTAAAGGAGAAAGACCGTGGAAGAGATCATGAACGGGACAGGGATGGAAGAGAAAAAGAGCGAGATCATGAGCGAGGATAATTCAGAGAGTGAGGATGAGGAGGAAGAGCAAGAGGAAGACAGGGGAAAGGGAAGAGGAAGAGGAAGGGAGGCGATCTGTGTGACATGGGCGTGAGCCTTTCCCTCGTTCGAGCACTGTGCGGTGGGGATGAATAAGTTCGTCGATAATCGGAGTTCTGAAGCGAGAGAATGCGGCAGTTTTCGATAGAGGGCGCGGAAATGTCGGCCTTTGGAGGCTAGTTATACGGAAAACAGAGCTCTGACGAAGAAGAAGGGATGAAAGGAGAAGCGAGCGGGTGAAAGAACGGCTGAAGTCGGAAAAGAAGAAATTGCTCGACGAGAGTCAAGCGATCCATTGGGAGGTTCAAATTGGTTCTGGACGCCATAAGAAGACATCTAAACGGCGGCTGCAGCAGAAAGGAAACCGGGGAAGATCCAGAGTTCAGGCTAAAAAACAAGTGAACGAGTCTTGGTCTCTCAAGCGAGAGAAAGGCATGAGTTCGGTTTCTTCACAAGAAGGACATGAGGAACGAGGAGAAGGTCTCTGCTGGACTAGGAGATTGAGAGAGCGGGGGAAGAAACGAGTATTAGAATTTTGTGCCGAAGTAGAGGTTGAAGCGTTTGCTCCAGATGTTCGAGTAGTAAAGCATAAAGTGGACAAAGGGGACGAAGCTCTTGAAAGTATTCCGGAGCACATCTCAGATGAGCTAGATAAACTTTTTGTTAAAAGCTGGTCACGAAAGCACCGGAGGAACTTTCGGACTCGGGCTAGGTTTCAAAGCCTTACCAAGCAAGAAACACAGGCTGGAACTACCCAAGATCCCGGTGGGATTGGTGTAGACCACCTTCAATCTAGTCCAAAAGAGGCGCTGCGTGAGGCAAAAATGGCCGACCCAACAGTTAACAAGAGCAAGGAAATCTTGGAGGCCGAAGTACCCCTTGTAAATGGTTGGCATGTCGTATTGAACGAGCATGACAGTTCTTCAATCGAGTTGTCAACCAGTAAGTCTTCTGATGGGAAGTCAATAGCTAGGTCTGTGCAAGACTCATTAGCATTTGGAGGTAGGTCAGAAGATAGGGTCCAAGCAGATATTCCAAGTGTTCCACCCGAAAGTAGCCACTTCGAAGCAGTGCATGTGGAATCTGATGAGCAGATACATCTGGTGCTCCACCTTTGTATAGAGTCAAATAGAGAACAGAGTGCAGATCTAAATCCCATCACAAGTACCTCAGCCTTGTTTCCAGTAGAGAGAGTACATAGCTTGCGTATGGAGCCACTGTCTGGAGTACTCAAGAGTGCATGTTCCGTGAGCCCTCGAGCTCAGGCTCCGTCGTTTGCCTGTTGTGAATTAGGTGTAGTTACGAGTACTTCTGCAAAGGCTCGAGATTCTGTTGTTAGTAAGCCATTGTCGAAAGCAAGTGAGAACATGCTTGGAAGTACGGAGGAGCCAACTAGCCAAGAGATTGTTGGCCTCATTGTGACCGATGTAGAAGAGGATAGAGGTTGTAATGACAGCGCCGAAGAGTTGGTGCATGGAGCTTCCCGTGACTTTCCCGAAAACGTGTTGATCCAAGTAGTAGACAGAGAGACAAGCGAGCGGATGACTGATGAAGACGTTGAAGTCCATGAAATTGCAGCTTGTAAAGAGGTGGACAGAGAGATGATGGTCGACGGGCGCAAGGATAGTGTCTGCACCAAGATCGACAAGCAGATTGTGATCGAAGTTGGGGAGCTCAATCTGAGCTACCAGGTCAATAAGGAGACGGTGCAGGAAGTCCAAGAGAGCTTGACCTTCCGTGAGGTAGGCAAGCAGAAAGTAGTTGAGGTGCGAGATTTTGGCCATGAGAGCAACAGAAAGGGAGAGCTTGAAGGCCAAGAACGTCTAGTCCATGATGATATAGCTAGAGAGAAGATACCTGACTTTCAAGGACACAGTCACAGTCTTTGCACCGAGGTGAAGCCTCATGAGGTAAATGAGCGTGAAGTTTGTAAGAAGATAGCGGAAGAACAGGTGTTTGAGTTAAGACAGCGAACAGGCTGCTGTGAGAATACGGCTACAGATGCTGATTCTGAGGACAGGAATTCCAGTGCTTTTGCAGACCCTTTCACAACGCTGGAGGATGAGCAGACTCAATCGTCAGCAGATGACAAGCAAAGGTTTGAGGGTCAGCGTGGTCACTTACCAAACTTCGAAGACTTGGATAGATAAGGTGGATAAGGTTGGATAGGATAGGGTGCCAGGTGTTACTTTGGTTGTAACTCCCTGGATTTCCGGGGTGCCTCGGAAGCGGCCCCGTGTTGCTTATAAGGCAACTCCGTGTTGCTTATAGGGCAGTCTCGTGTTGGTGTTTGGAGATTCGACTTCGAGAGAGTAGGAACGGGGCTATAGCCTCAGTGTGGGTTGTCGTGGATTCATAGTGTAGGAACTGAGCGCGGCTCTCTTTACAGTTGGTTTCTGATGGTTTTGGGATTCATGTACTTTGGTTAGTTGGTGTGAGTGGAGGCAAGGTGTAGGAGAAGAGCTGCACCCTCAACAGTGAGGGTTGTGTGGATTCAGAAAAGAACTCTCAAAATTTGAAGCCTTAATAGTGGTGCTTCCTGGGGTTGGGTAAGAGAATGGAGAGTTGTGGTGGCTAAGGTAGATATATGTGCAGGCTTGGACCCCCACCCGGACTACAACGCTAAGGGTGGGAGATAAAAGCTCACAGCTGGCGCGGAAGGCGTTGACCGCGGTCAACAGGCTCCGTCCAGTTTGTCCATTTCTCGCCTCTTCGTCGGCGCTCTTGTCACCGTAACTCCGTCTCACCGAAGGCGCACTCATCCGTTCCGTCTGTACGGTCCGTACGGATTTTACTACTCCGGTGGGTCCTCGCCCGTCCACGTTGCTGCCCTGGCGCGGAAGTCGCCGTACAATTTCCAACCCCGAAGGCGCATTTCTAGGGCCGAAGGCGGATTTCCCGCCGACGCCGAAGCGCCTGTGCGTAGGCGAACTTCGCTCGTCCGCCTGGGCAGAGGTTTCCTCGCCTACGAGTAGGCGTCATTTGCGGCGGACATCGCGCCGACGTCAAACCCTATTTCGCCTACGCGTAGGCGAACTGCCTTCGTCCGCGCATAGGACAAACTTTCCTCGCCTACTCGTAGGCGAGAAGCTGAGTATCTTGCGACCTTCATAACTCCCGGAGTCCTCCTCCGTTTGTGGCGTTCTTGGGCTCGTTAGAATCAGCGCGTTGAGCTCTTTCCAACGAGACCCTAAAAAAGTCAAGGCATTTGGGAATTGACCAAGTTCTGAAGGATTCCTTGTAATAACCCACTAAAGGCTAAAACTGCAATATAGTGGTAGAAAGGTCGAACTCACAGGGACAGAGGAACACACAGGGTACAAAGTGTCACATTTAACAGACTATTGAGGAGTTTGAATTCTCAGGCGACTGTCACTCCCAGAAATACTGCAAGTGTCCACTCGGAGCGCACTCGGAGGTCGCACAGTGCAGCGTAAAACACACACACACACACACACCTGAAACTACAGAAACACAACCCAGAGATCCGTTAGGACCTCTACTCAAGATTTCAGGGGGGAAGTCTCTCAAGAGTACACTCAGCGAAGCTGCGGGTAGTGACTTCCAACTCCGGCTTTTACAACGCTTCCACTAGCTTGCTGCTAGCGTAGGAAACCCGGTTTGGACTGCCTACTTCGGATCGAAGTCACTCATACGCGGTGAATAACACTCTCAACTCACAAAACGCGCAGAGAACACAGGTCCGCATTGAAGGACTCACTGAGAAACATTCCAGTAACACAATAACAGTCTATTGAAGAGTTTGAATTCTTAGGCACTTGTCATTCCCAGAAATACTACAGGGGTTACCCTCAAGGCACCTGCTGCAGCGTAACCTGAATTTACAACCAAGGCTTACACGAAGTAACAAAACTTCACTTTGGCATTCAGGGGAAAAATTCCAAAGGAGTACAATCAGAAAGAAACACTCGAAGGTGTAGGGGCGAAACTGTTCAAGTATCTAACTAGTCACTGGCTCTGAGCATCGGCAGTCACCCGCAGGTGCAGATCCAAACTACTCAAGTCTCTAACCAATGTACTAGCTCTGAACATTCGGCCGAAGGCCTTCAGCTACAAAATGCGGAACGCTAAGTTGTAACTCCTCGTGCGTGGTGACAGAACTCAAGGACACAAACACGCAAAGGAAATGGGTTCCTGATCTGCACTTCTGATGGGAAAGAACCCCAGGCAAAACGCCTGGAACTATTTTATACCTTCTAAGTCCTACCTAGCACTACACTACACTATGCTGCACTACGCTACACGCCTGCACGGAACCACGCTACACTACACTCCGCGGAACCTGTGCTACGTCTCCTGCGCGACGGACTGCCGCGCACTAACTCCCTACCCTGCCAGTCTTCCGCTCGACTGCGCAGTCCCAATCGCTGCAACGCCGCGGACACCTCCACTTCGAGGGCGGACATGGTATCCCGCG